AGTTAATTGAGAGACCATCACCAATAAAGGTCAAAATTGGGTCCCTGCGTTCTTGAAACGTATACATGGGGACATTTGTGGACCTATTCACCCACCAAGAGAGCCATTTAGATATTTTATGGTCCTGATAAAAGCTTCTTCTAAATGGTCTCATGTGTGCCTATTGTCATCTCGCAATTTGACAATTACAAAATTATTGGCACAAATAATACGATTACATGCACAATTTCCTGATAATCAAATTAAGTCTATTCGCCTTGATAACGTTGCAGAGTTTTCATCCCAGACATTTAATGATTATTGTCTATCTATTGGGATAAGAGTTGAACATCCTGTAGCTCATGTTCACACTCAAAATGGTCTGGCTGAGTCATTAATTAAACGACTGTAGTTGATAGCAAGACCATTACTTATGAAAACTAAGTTTCCACAGATGTGTGGGGTCATGCAATTTTACATGCTGCAACACTTATTCGTCTCAGACCGACACATTAGCATAAGTTCTCCCTATTGCAATTGGTTTTGGGTCAACAACCAAATATATCTCATCTAAGAATTTTTGGATGCGCTGTATATGTGCCGGTAGCACCACCACATCGCACTAAGATGGCCCCAAAGAAGGTTAGGAATATATATTGGGTTTGAATCACCCTCTATTATTCACTACCTTGAACCACTAACAAGAGATATGTTCACATCTCGATTCGCCGATTGTCGATTTAATGAGACATTTTTCCCAAAATTTGGGGGAGAAAATAGTGAAATTAAAGGAGAAATTTTGTGGAAAAATCCATCATCGTCTCATCTTGATCCCTGTACTTCCATTTGTGAGCAAGAAGTACAAAAGATCATTCATTTGCAAAAAATTGCAAATCAAATGCCAGACGCATTTACAGATTTGAAAAGGATTACTAAATCACATATTCCTGCAAAGAATGTCCCAATTCGAATTGATGTCCCTGTAGAACCATCTACTAGTGTCATAACTAATGAGTCAAAAGCACGCTTGAAGTGTGGTAGACCATTAGGTTCAAAGGATCAAAATCCTAGAAAAAGAAAATTAAAAGATTAAAATGACACTATGAAAAAACCTCACATAGAAAGTCAAGTTGTGAGTAATGCTGGTATCCTTTAAGGGATCAATGAGCTTGAGACTCAAGAAAATAATGAACTATCCATAACATCAAGTGAAGATGAAACAAATCTGAATCGATCAGAAATAGCGGTGGATTATGTTTTTGCATACAATGTTGCATAAAAAATTATGCAAAATAGTGAGGATCTTGAACCTCAATCTGTTGTAGAATGTCGACAAAGAAATGATTGGCCAAAATGGCAAGAAGCAATTCAATTAGAATTGAATTCACTTGTCAAACGCGAAGTTTTTGGGCCTAGAGTACAAACACCTAATGGTATTAAACCTGTTGGCTATAAATGGATTTTTATGCTGAAAAAGAATGAGAAAAATGAAATACAAAGGTACAAAGCACATCTTGTTGCACAAGGATTTTCTCAAAGGCATGGCGTCGATTATGAAGAGACATACTCACCTGTTATGGATGCAATAACATTACATTATCTCATTAATTTCATGATCCATGAGAGGCTTGAATGCATTTGATGGATGTGGTTACAACCTATCTTTATGGATCACTCGATAATGATATATACATGAAAATTCCTGAAGGATTCAAAATGTCCAAAGCATACAGTTCAAAGTCTCGGGAAATGTACTCAGTTAGATTGCAAATATCATTGTAAGGTTTGAAGCAATCTGGACGCATGTGGTATAACTGTCTTAGTGAGTATTTATCTAAGGAAGGTTATATAAATGATGCGATTTGCACCTGTGTGTTTATAAAGAAGACAATGTCAGAGTTTGTTGTACTTGTTGTTTATGTTGATGACATAAACCTTATTGGAACTCCAATGGAACTTCATAGGACAATCGATTATTTGAAGAACGAATTTGAGATGAAAGATCTCAAAAAGACAAAATTATGTCTTGGTTTGCAAATAGAGCATTTGACAAATGGTATCTTTGTTCATCAATCTGCATACACAGAAAAGGTGTTGAAAAGATTTTATATGGATGAAACACATCCATTAAGTACTCCAATTATTGTTTGATCACTTGATGTGAATAAAGATTCCATTTCGACCTCAAGAAAAGAATGAGAAAATTCTTGGTCCTGAAGTACCATATCTCAGTGCAATTGGTGCATTAATGTATCTTGCTAACACTACAAGGCCTGATATAACCTTTTCGGTTAATTTGTTAGCAAGATATAGTTCTGCTCCTACTAGGAGACATTGAAATGGGATCAAACACATATTGCGGTTTCTAAAAGGGACTATCGATATGGGCTTAATCTATTCTAACGATTGTAGTCCAGACTTTGTTGGTTATGTTGATGTAGGATATCTATCTGACCCACATAAAGCCCGATCTCAAACAGGTTACGTATTCACATGTGGGGTACTGCCATATCTTGGAGATCTACGAAGCAATCTATTGTGGCCACTTCATCAAATCATGCTGAGATAATAGCTATTCATGAAGCAAACCGAGAATGTGTGTGATTAAGGTCCATAATACACCTTATTCGAGAAAAATGTTGTTTGAAATGTGACAAAGTACCCACAATTTTATATGAGGATAATGCAGCATGCATAACATAACTCAGGGGAGAATTCATAAAAAGGAGATAGAACGAAACATATTTCACCGAAGTTTTTCTATACACACATGAGCTCCAGAAGAATGGTGATACCAACGTACATTAGATTCATTCGAGTGATAATGTGGCTGATTTATTCACTAAGTCTTTGCCAACCCCAAATTTCGAGAAGATGGTATACAAGATTGGAATGAGTAAACTTGGACAACTAAATCGTGATTTTCATCAGGGGAGTAAAATACGCGTTGTACTCTTTTTTCCATAATCAAGGTTTTATCCCACTAGGTTTTCCTGATAAGGTTTTTAATGAGGCAACAAGTAATGCGTATTAGTAACAACTATTTATACTTGTTACTTTACTAAGAATTTTATTTTACATGGACATCCAAGGGGGAGTGTTGTAAATGGATTAATGAAGGTCCATTATACCCTTCTTATGCCTATAAAAGACATTGTAACTTGTATGGAAAAACACACAAAAATAAGGAAGACAAAAATTTCCTATTTTATCTCTTTACTACATTCTTCTCTTCTTGATTGTTATTAGTTTAATTTTAGTACTTAGTCTTTATTTTATAACAAGTACAATTATTAACAGAATTTTGTTTAAGATACTCAAAGCTTTTAATTTCTGATATTCCGAGAGTGCCCCTTGGTCGGCAAGCAAGCATGACGACCTTGCTTGAGTTAGTCTCTTATATATAGTAGTAAAAAGTAATATGCACAATTGTTATAGTTATTTATACTTTATTTTCTTATTAAAAGTTCTACACGTGCACATAAGTTAAACATTCCTTTACTTACCGACTAATTTAATGTCACATCACTCACAACATATAATTGGTTTTATTTTTTATTGAAAAATTGCCAATAGATCACTTAGGAAGGAACATTTCAGTCATCGTTTACTTATTTTTAAGTAGAATAAAATGAAGAATACCTTCTAAGCAGTCCGTATATAATTGTCCTCGTTTTCATTTCTTATTATTTGCCAATCGCAGTTATCATTTAGATCATTTGAACTCTGACAAAATTAAACTCAGAATAATTAAGGTCTATGTTACTTAAAATTTGTTTGAATTAATTTTTGATTTATAATTTATAAGTCAAAATTCTTAAATTTGAAATTCTAACTTATGATTCTTTAGTTTATTTTCGCTATTTTGGCTTCAAACAAGTGTTAAAAACATTTTTAATTTATTCAAACATTTCAAAACTGCTTAATCACCACAATTACAAATTGTTTTTGATAACTTCCCATCATAATCTAATTTAAGTATCTAACTTTGTATTGTAGTTTTTAAAAAAACAAAGAAAAAACTTTTGTTGGACTCGTCCCCCTCTGATAGAGTTGGAAAGAAAGACCACAATTAGGGGTGTTAAAAATGAACCAAAATATAGGTAACCCATCCAACTCGATCAGAATTTTAAGGGTTGGATTCAAGATGAATTAGGTTCAATCTCAACCCATTAAAGCCTAACTCATTTTAAGAGAATCCTCAATTGAGCCCAATTCAATCTCCAATTTCAATCCGTTTTAAAACTATTTACTAAGATATGTTCCTATATTAAATGTATGAATTATTATCTATTTAATATCTTTAGGATTTATCTATCCATTTGTTACTTTTTAAAAAAAAAAACTTGAGTGGAAATTCGAATTGTGATTATAAAAGTTAAATATCACTATGTTAAAATTATTGAAATTAATCGGGTCAAACTGGGCGGGTCAAAAACCCAACCCATTTTTTAGCCCATTTGAGCCCAAAGTAAACTTGGGCGGGTCAAGACACAACCCAATTTTTATCTCAACCCATTTTAATATCTCCAATTTCAACCCAATTTGCCCATTTGACACCTCTAACCACAATCATTAAGCTCTGCCCAACACAAAATAACGAGGAATCTTAAAGTTTATATGTACTACTAACTAATAGAAAGTTAAACAACCCTCACATCATTAATTTATACTCTGCATTTTAATTTATTTATCCTATATTTTTTTAATTTATATTAAAATAAATATCCCATTTTTGACAATTTTTTAATTTCTAATTTTAAACATAGAAAATTTAAAACCACAAAATTTAAAATTATTTTAATATAATTTACTTTTTAAAATTTTGTTAAATATACTCTCAATTTTAAATCAATTTTTTTTTCTTCTTAAACAGTCAAATTATAACTAATATAAAACGAAACGAACCGAACAATCAATCAATGAATCAAATTGGAAGTGAGAGAGTATAATTGAAATCCAACTTTTAAGTGTCTGTTGTGTGCAGAAACTAGATATTTCTCTCTCTGACTTAGCTTGTAATGGCAAATCAAAATGTTTCAAGCCCAAAAAGAAACAAATATGCATTAGCTTGCTCTCTTTTAGCTTCCATGACATCCGTGTTATTAGGATATGGTAAGATTATGTATGTACTATATTAATATTAAATTTCATTTGTAAAATTAAAATCTAGAGTAAAACTGTGTTAGTGGTTGGTTGATGTAGATACAGGAGTGATGAGCGGAGCAGTGATTTACATAAAAGAAGATCTGAAAATATCTGATGTTCAGATTGAAATCCTTGTGGGAACAATCAACATATACTCTCTTGTAGGTGCTGCAATTGCTGGTCGAACTTCAGATTGGATAGGTCGTCGATACACTATTATTTTGGCATCTCTAATTTTTTTTGTAGGAGCAATATTGATGGGATTTGCTACGAATTATTGGTTCCTCATGTTTGGTAGATTTGTTGCTGGTATTGGAGTTGGATATGCTCTTATGATAGCTCCAGTTTACACTGCTGAAGTTGCTCCGGCCTCTTGCCGTGGATTTTTCACTTCTTTTCCTGAAGTTTTCATCAATGGAGGTACTTTTTTTTTTGTGGTCATAATTCAATTATTTAACTTTTGTCTTATTCTCTACATTAAAGTTTCGATAAATTAACTTTGCTCATTTTTCAACCTCTACTTTTTCCTTGTCATCCATATTCTCTTCTTTCATGTCATTTTATTTTTATTTGAATTGTATACAATGATAGAGTTGAAAACATATTTTCATTCAAAAATATAGTCAGTTAGGGTGTGTTTGGTAAGCCATCTCCTAATTATAATTGGTGTAATTATTAGAGTAGTAATTACATAACTTAGTAATTACGATGACCTGTTGGTTTATCGCAATATAATATACAAGTGTACTGTTTGGTTACACAAGTGCAATCATAAAGTTATATGAAATTTTAAAAATAAAAGTTAATTGTCAAAAATTAAAAAATTATATTAGACAAATAAGGGTATTTATAAATGATATTAAATTAAATATTTAAGTAATATATTGTATTTTGTAAATATATTATTTAATAAACATATATCATTAACTAATGTTATAAAAGATTGATTTATATTTTTCAAATTAATATATTTTAATCAAATTAATCAAGAAAGTGCACGTTTGATTAAAAAAAAGTTAATTTTATAAATATAATGTCATAAAATTATTAAGATATTTGACAAAAAGATTATATATCAAGTCTAACTTAAAAACAAATGGCTTGTAATGTGAAATAACAAGTCAATACTATACCAAAACACATGAAACTAAAAATATAACATCAAAACAAAAAATTTAGCATAATACTTTTATGTCAAATTTCAACATAACGTACATAAATATAATTTAAAAAAGAAAAACGTAAGTTTATAACCTTATTCAACAATGTGTTCTCCTTTGATTTAAAAATAGAATACTAACAAAATTATGCTGATGAAAAAAGTAAATAATAGAATTGCATGAAGTAAAGATTGAGAATGAGAAAGAAATGAAATATAATAAAATAAAAAAAATATTTTTAGTAAGTATTAGAATAAAAAAATTTATAAGAAGTGGTGGTTAGACCTGCTATGTTGTATGAGAAAGCGTATTTAGTGGCCAAGAAAACTTGCATATTGAGAAGATGATAGTTGCATAAATGAGGATGATGTAATGGATGTGTAGACATACTAGGAGAGATAGAGTTAGAAACAATGATATTCTAGATGATGTAGGAGTGACCCCTTTTGTGGATAAGATGAAGAAGGTGATATCGAAATAGTTCATACATGTGAAAAGAATATGCTTAGATTCCTAGTAAGGAGGTGTGAGAGGTTGGATATGAAGGGGCAGAAGAGAGGTAAAGGTAGGTCAAAGAAGTAATGGGGGATATGTGATTTGACAGGACATGAAACAAGTGTAGCTCTTCGAGGATATGACCCTAAATATGTAAATATGGAAATCGATGATTATAATAGAAGAGTAGTAGGTAGTTAAGCGTTGCCTAGTATTTTCTATCAGTATTATTATTATTACTCTCATACTAGCTTATTCTTTGAATTTTTATGGACTTTTACTTAAGTTATCGTATTATTTGTTATTGCTACTGTTCTTTACTCCATTATTTTCAACATGACTTCTTCACTACTCATTTCCTTTTCATAAGTGTTTCTTGGGTCGAGAGTCCTTTAAAACTAATTTCTTTATCTTCACAAAGTAGGAGTTAGATTACGTACATCTACTTTCCCCATACTCTACTTGTGAGACTATACTAGGTATATTGATTCTTATAATGAAAATAATGCTCGGTGTTAAGATCTTGATTTTATTCTATTTTCCAAAGTTTCTTTCTTGTTGGTAAATATGACAATGTTTTCATATTTTTCTTGCTCCTTGGTTCATTGGACCTTTTTGCAATCGTATGGATCTTCTTCGCGCTTGGAATCTGTCTTGGCTCTCGATCAACAGTCTTGTCTAGTTTACAATGAAGGACCTGATATCTTCATTGTTGCTTTACTGCTTCTGATGCACTTTGATAGCAGCTCTTTATTGTAAACTTGAAAAGGAACAGATGCCTTATAGTATGTTGTTATGAACATTACCCATCCTTTTTTGAGACATGTGAAGGACATATATGGTTCTTGCATATATTTGTTGTGTTTTACCACTCACTTGTTAATCATTAGAATTTCATATTCTTAGTCCTAACACATGCATGACTCTCTTAGCTCATATTGCTCTCTTTTAAGTCATTGCTCTTAGCTCAACAAATCCAGTGGACCAGCTTGTGATGTTGTTTGATTTAGGATTAAAGAGGATAAAATGTTACTGATGGTATCAAAACTCCACTTCATGTGCAGCCTTGGTTGATGTTAGAGCAAATTTCAGCATTCAATTAAGTTTAGGTGAATCTTTGAGATAATGGGTGCACAAAAATTAGCGTAGCAACGATACATCATTTTAACACATATACTTCTTGGTGGCTGTCAACCCAATTTACTCACTCAATAGGAGAACCAACAACACATATAAAACCATTTTAAAGGAATGCAATAACCATAACAAGACCCGCGATTGTCTTGAATACAAAAGATTTTTAAAACAAATCAAACAAGAAATTAAATATGACATAATATAAGCAAAACTAATTGATTGATGTTGGCTCACATAAAATAGTTAAGTTAAAATTTATTGATGACAAAAAATTACTGTATTTATAATGACAGTAGTGTATATACTATGCATAACTTCAATACCAATTCAAAGGGTAATGTTTTTTTCTTGGTGTTGCAGGTGTGTTACTTGGTTACATATCAAACTATGCATTTTCCAAACTCCCAACGAAATTGGGATGGCGATTCATGCTTGGAATTGGAGTTATCCCATCAGTGTTGTTAGGCATTGGTGTCCTTGCCATGCCCGAGTCACCACGTTGGCTAGTCATGCAAGGCCGTCTTGGAGATGCTAAGAGGGTTTTGGACAGAACTTCAGACACTTTAGAAGAATCAAAGACGAGATTAGCTGACATTAAAGAAGCTGCTGGCATACCACAAGATTGCCAAGATGACATAGTTTCTGTCACGCGAGAAAGCTCCCATGGTTCAGGTGTATGGCGAGAGTTGTTCCTCCATCCTACCCCCACTGTTCTTCATATTCTAATTGCAGCCATTGGTATTCATTTTTTCCAACAAGCCAGTGGCATAGATGCTGTTGTGCTCTACAGCCCCAGGATATACGAGAAAGCAGGTATACATTAATTCACTAATTGTACATGTTTAAACTGTTAAGACAACGACTGACTGACACATTTTTATTTACATAATAAAGGGATTACTAAACCAAGCTATAGGCTACTTGCGACTATAGCTGTGGGATGTATGAAGACATTCTTTACTTTAGTTGCTACATTTTTGGTGGACAAGATTGGAAGAAGAATATTACTTCTATCAAGTTGTGGTGGTATGATTCTGTCTTTATTAGCCCTAGCTACAGGATTAACTATAATTGATCACTCAGATCATACGCTAAAATGGGCGATAGTGGTGTGTGTATGTGCAACATATTCAACAGTTGCATTCTTCTCAATTGGGATGGGTCCTTTAGCATGGGTATACAGTTCAGAAATCTTTCCATTGAGATTAAGAGCTCAAGGTTGTAGTATAGGTGTAGCAGTGAATAGAGCAGTGAGTGGAGGAATTTTGATGACATTTATATCTTTGTATAAGGCTATTAGTATTGGAGGGGCTTTTTTCTTGTATGCTGGAGTTGCAAGTGTGGCTTGGATTTTCTTCTACACATTGTTACCAGAAACAAAAGGCAGAACACTAGAGGAGATGGAGCCATTGTTTGGTACTTTCTTTAAGTGGAGATCAACCATGAAAGAGTTGAAGAAAAACAGAGTAGAAGGTGATGATATGCTTCTCCTCTCATAATTTCAAACTAGTAAGTAGTAACCATGTGAACCCATAACATATACATTTGGATTTTACTTTTTGTTTCATGCATTATTATTGATAATAACCAAAGTTGTCATGATCAGTATTTAATTCAAGCAACTCACCCTTAAATCTCAAAAGTTGGCTACTAAGCCAGTTAGTCAACTCTCTAGCTTCACTGGTACACAGATCAGAAAAAATAATAAATGAAACATACATTAAGTTGGGCCAGGACTTCAGATGCAAGGCACCATAACTACAGATCAAACAACTCGAACAATCAGAATATGTCACGACCTAAATCGTTGTGAGAAACACCCACACTAAATCTCCGATGGAAGAACCAATCGCCAACCCAATACGACATCAACTAAGCCATTAAGGTAACAGTCTCATTAGTTAAAGCGAATATTCATACTAGTTAATAAAAAACATGCGGAAACAATTCCTTTAGAATCTGAAAGTCGTGCACCAAAACATCTAACATAGTCTAGAATACGGAGATGCAACCTGAGCTTGCGTCTGGTCTTTAAATAAATGACCATCGGCACAATATCACTAGTCGTAATCATTTTCCATCGGCTTTATATCAAGTCACTATCCAAAATCATATTCCAGTGGCTTTATATCAAATCAATTGCCGAAACCATTTCCCATCGACTTTATATAATTAGCCAGAACCATTTTCCATCGACTTTATATCACTCGCCAGCAATGACCTCGACATCATAAACACTTGCATAAATGACCCCGGCATCAAACTATCACATGTCTCAGCACAGTGTTTAATAATCAATGCACAGAAACAATATCACACCACACGAAAAAGACAACAATTCATGCAATTCAAGTCCACATTCATGCTATCAAGCACTTCATCAATCAATCAATAAGGGTCACAACAAAGCAATTCACATCATCATGTTTATCACGATTTTTTCATTTCAAACCTTTTTTATTCATTTAGGTTTATCAAGTGGACAATTAACCCTTCACCTCATCCCCATTACTCCCAACACACAATTAACAAAGGGAATACATGAATTCTACTAGAATACAACTAGAATACAAGGTTTAGGATATCACTTGCCTTAAATCAATTAATAATCACTCAAAGAGTTGAGTCTTCCCCTTCCGAATCACTTCCAAAGCCAAACAATCTATATCAATCAAGTATATCCGAAAACAATAATATCCACATCAATTCTCCTGAAATATGAGTCAATCAACACAAAACTCAGTTCTAAAAATAAGGTTTGGATCCAAACCTTAATACTTGAAACTCAAGGCTTTAAGAACTCATTGGAAAAAATCATTCCGAAAAAGGACTGAAAAATAGTTCACAATCTCCATTTTAATTAAGAACTTGAGTTCTTGAAAAGACCTTACCATTGATAAATCAAAATCTCATATTTTGATGTTAGAATTCATAAATAATCAAAGGGAAATGAGTTTGAGAGTTAAGAATCGCTACCCAACTGATTTGGCACAAGAAATCCTTTTAAAATCGCCACCAAGGGTTCGCCAAGCTAAAAAAAAGAAAAGAAAATAGTGCTTAAACCCCAAAATTTGCAGGTCAAAACCCTTCTCAAATGTCGCAAAAAGCGGTCAAGCGTTTGTAAAAGTGAACCCTGCTAAAAACTCGGCTCTCGCAAAAGCGAAGCCGCCTTCACTTAAGCAAAGGTCGCTTAAGCGACAAATCTTCGCTTAAGCAGAGGGCGCTTAAGCGACATGACCTTCACAAAAGCTAGGCATGCAGCACCAGAAAACACAGTTAAGTCTCAAAGCATCGAAACGACCCTTAGATTCGTTCAGAACCCCGTACACACAAACCACATATGAAAATCAATTATACTTGATGTTCCGTACCGTCATAACACGAATACGAGCTTCAGTTGAGTTATTTTAGTAGTACAAAATAAAGATCAATAATTTTGCTAGATAAATTTTCATAGTTAATTAGTAATATTTTGACATATTACCTCCCAACAACCACATCTAAAAAATATGAACCCAAAAATCATAATCCAAAGTTAAGTTATCTTTTGAGATATTAACTCCCAACAACCTCATCCTAAAAAATGTGAACCCCAAACATCATAATGGAAAAAGTAACTAAATAACTCAATTATTGAATAGGTGATCCACAAAAAGCAGAAAGCTATGAAAGTAAAAGTATCGACATACGAGAAGGGCATAGATGCTTCGGAAACAAAGCCTAGCCTTTGCACATGTTCTTCTCTACTTTTTTAATAACTAAAGCGGTATGTAAGGCCCAACTTCTCCTTTTAGATTTAGGACCGGTTCAGAAAGACACAATGTAATTGAATATGGTGTAATTGAGTATGAGTTTTTAGCTAAAATCATCCTTGGAGTATGACTTAAACCTAAAGTACATCCTTATGTTATATAAGTGAACAAAAACATTCTTGCACTATCCGAAAAGTTGCAAGATTCATCCTAATGACTATTTTTTTTTAAAGAAACTCACGACACCAACAAAAATGTGCCAAATCGAATGAATATATGTACACATGATTAAACTAGTCAAGTTGAGTGATTTTTCTAATTTTTAGAAATTGAGGGTTCAAATCATATTTAGACAAAATTTATTCAAATTCTAAATATTCTTTGTAAAAAGTATGGTCAAATTATACAACTCTAACTTCAACAATTTCAAATAAAGTAATTATTATTTTTATTTTCATAACTAAACGCCTACGCAGTTTCACTAAATTTCCAGCAATTTTGTACATTGTATAAAATGTGAATTGCATTGTATATAACGTACATACGTACTAAATATTTTATTAAAGAAAATCTCTAAATAGTTGGACGTAATATTTTCAAAATGATTGTTTTTAATAATTTTTTTAAACATCAGAACCTACTGTATATATATTTCAAGACTTATGTATTGTTGCAAGTTAATTTACTTGATGATGCAAAAAACATATAAACTAACAACTTACAAAATTTAAATTTTGAGATGAAAGATTCATTTCCTATCCATATCCTTATTCTTTTAAGGTAACTTTGATCTTCTCATCGTGGCTAAGACATGATAAAATTAAAAAAAAAAAATTGGTTCAATCACTTTCTTAATAAAAATAGACTGAAGGATGATTCTTGTTACTTTTTGGATAGTATAAAGATGTTTTTTGCTCACTTAAATATTATAAATTTACATTAGATTTGAGTTATAGTTGAAGGGTGATTTTAGCCAAAAACTCTATTTAGTAAACCAAATAATTACTTGGCAAGAGAGGAATTGGGTATAATTGAAGGGGAGTAAATACGCTCATCCTTTGAGGGTTAGGAATTGGGTGTAATTATACCATGTAATTACATAAAACTTTTTTAAAGTTCTTTTATTCATTTTATTTATATTTGTATTTTCGTTTTAATTTATTTTTCATCTCTCTTAAAAAATTATTTTTGTTATTCTATTATTATTTATATTTCATTTCCTTCTCATTCTCAACCTTTACCTTTTCATGTGATTCCATTTAATTTTTCGTATCATGTATTTATTTATTTATTCATTCTATATTTTTTTATCAGCACAATTTTGTTAGTATTCAATTTTTTAAATTAATATAGAATTCATTGTTGAATAAAGTTATACACTTTACATTTTCATTTTCTTTTAAGTCATATTTATGTATTTTTTGTTGAAATTTGACAAAAGAATATTACGTAAAAAAATTATTTTGAATTTAGAACATATGTTATATTTTCTGTTTCATTTATTTTAGTAGTATTGACTTGAAGACATGCCTTGTTGCACAAGGATTCTCTCAAAGACCGGTGTCGACTATGAAGAAACATATTCACCAGCTATGAATGCAATAACTTTTCAATATCTCATCGGTTTAGCTGTACGTGAAAATCTTGAAATACATCTGATGGATGTGGTTACAACTTATCTTTACTGTTCACTTGATAATGAAATTTATATGAAAATTTTCATGCCCTGAGGCTACCCCTTGACGTAACATAGAACCTAGGATCACGAGTGACCCCAAGCTAACCCTGAAGCTGACATATCATAAGCTTACTGAAAGATATCTAAATGAAAACATTAACTAATGAAAGTTAAATCAATTGATAACTGAAAGTGGGGAATACCCAACTAGTCTGAAATATATGAAACATACTAAGAGTTTAACAAAACTGAAGATAAACTTAACAAGTCAAGTTGATTCTTGTACTATGTCTGAAAAAGCCTATACTAACTAGAATTGCTGGGACATGCCCCCAGCTAACCCTAGTAAAATTGAAAACTGAAATAAAAGTCTGAATATGAAAAACATGTCTATTGTCCTCGAAGTATGAGGACTCACCACTGAAATTGCTGAATACGGACCGATAAGTCGATCTAAGCGTGATCTGAATGCTGAGTACCTGAACCTACATCATGAAATGATGTAGCGCAGAGTATGCGTCAATACTTGGAGTGTAATAAGCATGCATGATATAGAATATAGCTGCACAAATACATAAGCTGAGCAGAGCATAAATGAACAATGATATAAACTGAACAAGATGTAGATGCTGAAATATAACTGAAAGTTGAGCTAAATGCAATGACCAAGTACTAATCATGAACATCATATGTTGAGATTGGATACTGAAGTATAACCTGAAAACCTGGTCAAATAAACTAGAATCTGACTGTGGGAGCTATTATTAACAGACTTAAAACCACGTGTGCTAAATGCGGAATCCGATGTATACACCCATCGAGAGGACCCAATATACCTTTCCAAGGGTATAAAGGCATGACTGACGTGATCACTAAATCTGATGCCCACAGAGGGGACTTATAAACCTATGGGGGCACGTAGTTCTGGGATTATGAAAGTGCGTTGAACCCTAGTCTAACTCGGTGCTAAGCCTACTCCCAACTGGAAATGTGTATTATACAACATAACTGAAATACTGGATAGCTCAATATTCTGACATGCAAATATGAGAATGCAACATATAATGTGACATTCGAAACTGGAGCATGTT